GGATTGTGGGTGGCCAACAGGGGCCGCCCCTGATTCCCAGCTTCACGGCCAGCAACTCACACAACGCGCAGGCGGCGCCATTGGTGTCTCCGGCGGCGACGGTATTGGTGTCTACGGCGGCGGCGCCATTGGTGTCTCCGGCGGCGGCGGTATTGGTGTCTCCGACGCCGGCATTGGAGCTTAATGCACCCGGATTTACGCTAGCCGGCACCTCGCCAGCAAGCGGCCCCTCCGTCAGTTGCACGCCCGCCGTTGGCGGTGCCTCGACATTAGCCGAGCTCGACGGCATCACGGTAACTAAGCCTCTCGTTCGAATACTTCATCTCCTTGCCTTTGACTGGGCATCCCTGACGCCCTACATGTTTTCGCAGGGCGCCGCCAACGTTCCTTGCACTCTCCTGCACTTCGTGGGCGGCGAGTTGGTCGATGTCGCCAAGGGCAGAATTGTTCAACCGGGCAACCCCGTGTTCCACGGTAATCCGATGCCACCCACAATGTATAGGGTTGAAGTGGTTCGGGTGCTGCCAGGCTGCGACGAGCTGTTACCTCTGATTCGACCCGCTGGGGCCGACGAAGAAGATGAGATGACCCTCAGCGCCTGCGTAAGCTGGCCCCTGCTTTGTCCTAAGAGCCAGATTCGTTTGGGGGCGGGGGACACCACCCCACAGACAAGACCGCCAGTCGTGCCGGCGCCAAGCCATGGCAAGAACGCCGCAACGCTACCGGACATGTCGGACATCCCTATGGCACAGGATCCGGACATGCATATGGCACAGGATCCGGACGATGACAACAACGACGATGGTACATTTACCAACGTCGATAAGTACTTTGCCGAACATGGGTACGGTGACGAGTTCTATGGGCCTCCTTCTCAAGAACCCAAACAAGACGACCGCGATCTAGCTGGTACGGCGGAGAAACCCAATCGCAACAGGCGTCGTCTGGCGTTCAGTTCTCAGGAGACGCCTCCAGCTGCCGCCTTCACCGAGCCTCAGATAGCGGAGGTGCCAAATATTATCAGCCCCAACACGCTCAAGAAGGCGGTCTGTGAGCAGAACTCGGTCCCATTACAGCAGATCAAGAAGAAGGGCCAGAAACGGCCGACTAAAAAGGCCACCAGTGCGAGCCAGCCGGCACCGAGTACGATCCGTGCTCAGGACGGGCCACCTTCACCTAAGGATATCTCCAGGAGGGTGCATGTGGCGGGTAGGGCGATGCTACCGACAAATATGCTCAATGCTGCAACCGGTGCTATGCGGAGTCTGCACGACAGTGTTCTTTCTTTGGAGAAGCGGCATCTCAGAGAGAATGATGTGGCATACCCGGTTTTCGTGGCCAAGGTGCCAGAGGGCAAGGGCTTTGTGGATGGCGCCATCGGGGGTACGATCGTCCTGCGGTTTGATGACATCTTTGCTATGTTCAACCTTCATCCGCTGCACTACACCTTCGTTCAGCTGTTTTCGCTGAGTATGGAGATGCGGATCATTAGAGACAAGACCCCGGACATCGTGATCGTCGACCCCTTCTACATGCGTGCCAAGCTCTTGAGCAGCGCTGGGGACCGCCAAGTCGCGAGTTCACACCTCGAAGACGTCATTCTGGCAAACCCAGATAAGGATAACTTCCTTGTGCCTTACTTTCCCGAGTAAGTCATCCCTTAACCGCCTCGTAACATATGATTTCTTAGATTTTGATCGTTCTTATTTTTTCTAACATTCCGTGTTCTGTGCGGTGACACACATTGCACACTCATCCTCTTAAGCCCGAAATATTCCATGGCCACGTATTTCGACCCGAACCGTAACTCCAAGATAGACTACACAAATATCAAGAAAGTTCTTGATGATGTTCTCCCTGGCTACGCCAAATCTGGAGGCACCTTCATCAGGGCAGTTCGTAAGTACGGCAAGCACGTGTTCGCCCACAATACGACGTTCTGCTGCGTCAAGCAGCCGCCTGGCGGTCAGAAGGATGCCTACTACGCCCTCCATCACATGCGGGCGATCGTAAGGGACCATCATCATCTTCTGCTACCAAATAATCTCAAAGATTGGGCCGTGAGCTTGTCGGCAATCCAGGACGCGGACATCAGACAAGAATTTTTTCACATCCAGTTGGAGTTTGCGGACATCATCCATCAAGATGTTCTTCATACCTCGGGGCAGTTCTTCCTCAGATATCAACCATCCAACATTGAGATAGACGGAATGCTACAAATGCAGGCTGACAACGCCCGCGATTTCATGACCATCACGACAGACGGCGGCTTCATCCACGCAGCTGTCCATGAGTCGAGTCGAAAGTAGTGATATGTAGTTCTGAAACATTGATTGGCTCATGTTGTAATTAAACTTTAATGAATTATATGTCTCTTTGGTTTGGACAGTCGTTCAACTTAGATGTAATCGATGCTGTTTATTAGTAGGACCATGAATCGTGCTATTAATGTCTTACTTTTCTCTTCCGATCCTTTTGTTGCATACTTATATATTGCTTATGTATGTATTGTCTGTTGTTTGGCTTGTGCATAGAGATGCCGTCGTATGTCGTGTACAAGGGTAAGGTTCCCGAAGTCTACGACGACTGAGAGGAGTGTCAAAGACAGGTTCACCGTTTCAGCGGTAACAGATACAAAGGGTACACCACTAGGGCGGAGGCCGAATCTAGATATGCCCGCTATCTAGCGGGAGAGAGGAGGGAGCGTTGGAGGAACCGGATGAAGACCAGTTTGATCGCGATGATGCTCATCGTGATGACCGCGGCTCTCTTCTATGTGATGGTAGTTTAGATGATTGATATCGACTTGTAATGTGAAGACAAACTCGATACTCGCCGTCTCGAGACTTGTAATGTTTTATCTTTGTTCGGTCTTTTGAATTCGGAGACTAATATGATGAATTGTATTCGGAGATTAATCTTCTATTGTATTCGATGAATCTGTTGTTGCTGTGTGCTACTGTCTATATTCTGTCAAATAATATATTTTGTAACCTGTGCAAAAATCATAAAAGTAAAAAAAAAACCAAATATTCATACTAATGGCGCATCACCACAAGGTGCGCCATTAGTATGCCAAAGGATACTAATGGCGCATCAAGACAGAGTGCGCCATTAGTATGACAAAGCAGATGGTAACATATGGCCCCCCGGGAGGCATACTAATGGCGCATGGTGTTACATACTAATGGCGCACTTCCTGGTGCGCCATTAGCATACCAGATACTAATGGCGCACCAGTGGTGCGCCATTAGTAAAAAATTCTAGTGGCGTGATACTAATGGCGCACCGGTAGTGCGCCATTAGTAGGCAAAACCGGTGCGCCATTAGTAGGCCTTTTCCTAGTAGTGTGGGAGGCACAGGCCGCCATTGCCTACAATCATCACCTTCTCCAGGAGCACCTGTAGGCGGAGTAGCAGCTCAACGCCGGTAGGGAGATCACTCTAGATGCAGACGTAGCGGAGCAGGCGGTGCTTCTCGACTCCTATCGCTCCGCCCGCCTTGCCCGCAGGCGGTACCGCAAGTGGGTGGTGGAGGTGGTGGCGGCCGCATACAAGGAGGGTGACAAGGCGGTGTTCGGCGAGACCGACGAGGAGGAGGAGGACATCGCCGAAGCCGGCACATCCGCGGGCGCCGCCGGCAGCGAGGAAGAGCAGTGCATAGTAGGTCGCCGCCGCTCGGGTCCCGGGAAGGCCACCGCTCCTCCCCTCTCGTCGAGGCCAAGCTTGGTTGGCTGAACATTGTTGGCCGATTATCCGCTTGGCGGCGACGTGAAGGCGGATAGCTTTGCTTCCCGTGGTTCCGGAGGCGGAAGTTACGGAGGCAGAGCTGGAGAGCGCGAAGGCGGAGCTAGAGAAGGCGAAGCTTCAGTTCTCGGGGTTCATGGCCGGACACGGGGAACGGCTGCCGGTGACCATTTAGATTAGGTAATTATGCCCAACCGGACGAGCTCCGCTTAGTTGATGTAAATGTAATAAAATCCGTCATGTTTATATAAAATTCGACCGTGTTTATATGAAATCCGGCCATGTTTGAACGAATATCGCCCGATTAGTTCGAACTGTTGCCAAAATGCATGCGGCTATGGTTGGATGGCGTCTTCCCGCATCTGGGTCCACGGACTAGTACCTCCCTATCCGTGGATGGATGCGGAAGAAAATTTACGGGTTGAGATTGGAGGTGCCCTTATGTTCATGCGTGAGAGAGTGAGCTTGTCTTTTCCCTGTATATTCGCGCCTATCAGTTTAGTTGTCATGTGAGCCCTTTGTCCTTAGCATCTTGAACTAAGAGATATTTAGTTAAACGATGTAGTGTTTGATGAACACATGCGTGGCCCACTGAATACACACTAATTAATTAAGCCACATGCCTATCGGGTTCAGATCGCGTCTCTGGTGTTAGTGTTGGTGTAAGGCATGCGAGAAATGATGGAGGTTTGGCTCTTGGATATGTGGCTTTTTTGTCCAGGATGATAGTCCGACATGACCGTGACCTTAATGACTTCCCGTCTGCGTTCAACAATGACATACTGGCTTGGGCAATGCAGTGGCATGTCATCGGCCTGTTAGGGAGCACCAGTTACTTGATGCATTTAATTTATTATTTCCTATGATCATTTATATTCCTAGTTTGGCTAAGTAGATCTTAGTGAACCTTTGCCCCCCAAAAATGAGCTAATCTTAATTTCCTATGAGGTTCGGTTAACAACTCACGCTGTCATGCACGTGACTCTTGCAAGAAAACAAAACCACGCACGTAACTAGGAAACAAATCAAAGTACTTCTCAAATGCAAATCAAGAGAGCAGCGGCAACTTCCCAGAACCTAAAGTATAAGCCTGCAACGTTGACGGTTGTTTTGTACTTTTGACTGCACCAGAGGAAAGGACAAATGAATCCTTTGCGCTTCTGTGCCAGCATCAAAGCTAGATAGATCGGTGGGACTTGTGTAATGGGATTTGCTTATATATAGGTAGAGAGATAGAGCTGAGCTACCGTTGCAATGAACAAAAATATAGCAACAACACCGAGGAGAGATAGAGCTACCGGAAGAACCGAGGGTGGTTTAGCTTTGAAGTTTGGTCTACCAATGTTGCAATGGTTCAAGGTAAGACATGAATTTGCCTATGTTTTGCGCTATTACGAAAATCTATATGTCTTATGATTTTTTTAGAACTATTTCTTATGATTTTAGTACTTGCTTACTTGCAAACTTCACTTTTTGGTGACTTTTACTCATATTCTTTTTTAATCTTAAACTGAATCGTATTCCCAATTCAGCTTCTTCATTGTGTTATAACACACAATAATATAAACATACCATACTGGATTTGCTATTTGTTTGAAAGGGTGCAAGTTTCTGCTGGAAAGGACACATGTTTTTCTTGCAGTTCTAGTGGTGATTACTTGATGATATTTCTATTTTGTAGGAATAATTATCACAAATTCAAAATGCTAACTAAAAAAACATGAGTTGAGCATAGGAGGAGTTACACTCAAATTAAATGAGATATACTCAGATTTTAAATCGGAGGTGGTGAGGTTCAAACCCGAGCCATTTAGCCCACCAACTTGTGGTGCTAACCGGTAAGACTCAAGGACTTTCAAGTTAAAGAGAACTAAAATCTAGAGTAACTTTTACGTTACCCCAGCCTAGGAATCTAGACTACCTATCCCATCATCCACATGCAGGGTGCTACCTAGTTAACTTGCGCTCCACCGTCATATGATAATTGCAATATCAGTAGATGTATGAACATAAGCAACTGAGTGTCATGAATGATGACTATTAAAATGAAGAGGAAGCTAGGCCACCACCTGATCTATCTATCAGTAGGAAATTTTAATGTGAAAAGCCTTTTGCTAAATTCTGAATATGACACATTTTTATTCGCCTTGGCCAAAAAAGAGAGAACATGCCACCATTTTTAAATCTCCAAGAAACTTTTAGATTATGAAGCCTCGTAATGTGGAAAACTCATTTATTAAAATTATGTATTAGACACGGCTAAGGCGTTAGGCCATCTCCATGGGGGCGTCTATGGCAGACGCCAGGATCTACTTCCTGTCTATTCTAGCAGTTATAAATTTTCAACAAGATTCAAATACTAAAACTTGATATGAATGAAGGATAATTAAGTTTCACAAACTCACACGTGGGTCACTATCACTAAAATTCTTTCAGTTGGTCAGAAAAGCAATGTAGGCTTTTATTTACAAAGCTTCTAGGGTTACTTAATCATCGAAAAAAGGATGATCACGGATTCATGTAGCAACCTAGCAGGCAGCACACTATATTCTGATTATTGTGGCATGCATGCATGCGTGCCGATACAGGACAAGGACATCCTAATGTCATGCAAAGCCGCGACCGACGTGGAGGCAGGAGCTGTGACGAATCCCGTGTCGCCCAGGTGCATGACGACCACACGCGCAGCGATCTCCAGGGTCCGTGCGCAACTCCGTCGTGTCGACGAAGACGCGTTCACGCCGCACAGCGTGCTGATCGGCCTTTACAACCATCGTAAAGGTGTTTCCCAATGGACGGAAGTGAAGGAGAAAGCCGTCGTCCATCTGTTTCACGGTCAAGTGGATGAGGTAATGCGGGAGCTGAAAAGTCTAGAGGGTGAAGCAAGGAGGTGCTATGCCCATCTGCCCGACCCCATTTTGTGTTGGGAGCACTTCTCATTCTCACACATGCTGCTGCACGATGGCTGCTATCTGCTCCTTTTGTTCTTAAGCTACAAGACAGAGGGACCTCAGTATCCCGAGACGGCAGCCGGTGGAGTCTCCGACGGCGCCGTGGTGCGCGACACCGTGTTCCTTGTTGAGAATCAAATACCTCTCTTGGTGCTTGACAAGATCCACCAGCTCGTCACAGGAGACACCGATAGTTCCGTCCTCCAAAACATATCCGTAGCTGTCCAGGAGCTTCTGCAGGCACAACTCTACATCAGCAAGAAGCCTCGGCCGGCGCCGCAGCAGTCGTCCCACTTGCTGCACCTGGTGCATCACTACTTTCAGCCAACCAATCCGCCTCCGGAAACGGCAGAGAACATGGCACGGCGCACAGGCCGGTGGCGCCGGGCGACGGAGTACCGCTGCCACGGCAACGTTCGTTTCAAGCCAAATGACTTGGTGGAAGGCAAGGAGTCCACCATCCTGGACGTGAGCTATCAAGGAGGTACGCTGTGGATCCCTCGCCTGCAGGTTAACAGCAATACGTGGACGATCCTACGTAACCTGATGGCTCTGGAGGAGCAGATGACACGGCGGCCCGTGACGGCCTACTGCGTCTTCCTGTCGCAGGTGGCGGGTACGGTGGAGGATGTCAAGCTCTTAGTTCGTGCCGGGATCGTCCAACAATTCCTGTCAAGTGAGAAGCAGGCCGCCCAAGACTTGGCAAACCTCTTAACAGGGGTGGAATTGGAAGTGGACAACCTCGACCAAAACTACCTCAAGCCCATATGGCGCGACCTGGACATGCGCTGCAACAAATGGGTCAACAGATTCATGGGAACGTGCCGCGAACAGCACTGCCGTAACGGGTTGTACACCGTAGCATTCGTTATCACCGCCATCCTCTTTGCCTGTGGATTGCTGCAAGCGGTCTTTGCTGTCCTAAGCTACAAATACAAGAAATAGTAGTGCTGCTTCTCTCACGTTAAGGTAGCCGTTGCATTTGTTTGAGTAGTTAGCCTTTTATTTTTGTTGAGGGGTGTTTGAGTAGTTAGCCGAGCCACGATTCCAGGACGTGCGATTGCACTTTCCAACGGTTCGTGGCATGAGTGGGTAGCCAATTATCTTTGTAATATTGTACGTTTGCTTGTTATACAACGGCATCTACTCAGCCGTCTGTAATGCATTCCATCTCAAACTTTCTATAAACAACTGTTTTGTTCCAACCGGCGGCAGGCCAGACACAGGGAACCGAGGTGCCCCCGTGCTACAACCATGGTGGCCTGGGGAGCTGCAACCGCGGCACCGGGAGAGCTGCAAACGGCGGTGCCCCATGCTACACTCGCGGACTCAAAAAGCTACATCCAGTCAGGGGTTTGCTGGAACCGGCAGGGGGAGATGATGGAACCAATTTTGGTCAGGAGCTGCAAACGTTGCCGGGGGAAGGTCGAACCAGTGTCGCGGGAAGCTGAAACTGTTGGCTGGAAATGCTAGAACCAGTAGGCAAAAAAGATGGAACTGACAACCACCGGATCTGCACTCGTAAGCAATGATGCCATGGTGGCGACCTTTTTTTTTGCTGCAACCATCATCAGATTTTGCTACTACCAGGGAGGAAATTTGCCACATCTATTATAAGCGGAGCTGCATGGTGCCACGACTGGCAGGCATTTTTTTGCTGCAACCATGCAATTAATTAAGATGCTGGAACGGCTACGTAAAAAACCTGGAGTGAACGATTGGATGGCCGGACGGCTCGACGACGAGGAGAGGAGGAGGTGGTGGTCGGACCTGGCTAGTGAACTTGTTGTGCTACTAGACGAAGCTTGAGAAGGAGGAACAGGGGGCGGAGCCCGGGGGAAGGGGATCTGGCGTAGCGAGCGAGCTCTGGTGCGCTCGGGATGGGTGAAGAGCCCCAGACGATGCAGCCGCTTGGAATCTGGGAAATAAGAGAGGATTACGCGCGGACGTTGTTGGGGTCAGCTCCCTGCTAATTGTTTTTTTATTTCCATATTAATTACAAAAGAAGGACAAATCTGGAGCGTCGGATTTCGGTAACATTGACGACAAAGGAATGGTCTGATACTGGAGCCTTACCAGACTATATATACAAAGTGTTTCCTCTTCCTTTACCCAAGTGAACTTGGGCTCTTAAATTTATATGTGTCGTTTTATAATAAATATTTTTTTCTTAGTTGTTGCAAAGTCTTTTTCTAGTACTCCGTTCTCCGACTCAAGAGTGTGGTCAGATAGCCGGATAGCTTGGTTTCTCTCTAAAGCCATTCGAGTTTAGTTCGCTAAAATGGCCTGAGAAACACTTCACCTTTAGGAAAAGGAGGTTGAAGCTGAAGGCTGATCCTCTTGAAGTCTGGAGATCAGACGTATTATGTTAAAGCACGACGGAAGCACAATATTTTCTAAGACTAATTTCGGATTGGCACAAAAAAACTTGACTTAATTCGGATGTAAAGTTTTTACATAATTTTTTTTGGTTTTCCAAGCTTATGGCACCTTTAACCTATTGTATGTTTATCTCAGGAGGCAAGATATGGTCTTGACCGAGGTCTCATGCATGATGGTGATGGCGACACACAAACACCAACCTAACAAGTTCCCAAGGAGATACGATCCTAGGGTCGGTCATGCGGCCGAACCCAAGTCCCGGGCGCTGCTACTGCACTGATGATTCAATGTTGGGAAGTCAAAGTGCAAAATGGTTTCCGAGGAGATTATGATACTCCGGTTGGTCGCCTGCATTCAACCTAAGCCCGAGGAACTATTGTGCACCGCGTTTCCGTTCCTAAGTTTGCTGCCGAGTTAGGATTTGATTCTCAGGCCGATTTTGTGAATCGATCTGAGTCTCAGGTGCTACAGGGATAAGTGGTTTTATGATATCCTTCAGGTGCATCTTGTATTTTAGGCCGGCACACACCTTGAGGGCTACTGGTGATGCATTTTAGCAGAGAATAAATTGCACCAATCAAAAAACAATTCCACAAAAAACAGCCCAAAGCCGAGGTGGTGCACCACCTCGGAAGCTGTCTGGCAGAAAGACAGATGCGAGTGGCTGGTTCCAAAGAGGACATTTCCGGCATTAAGCTTGGTTAAACTCCTTCAAAAAATTTTAAGACCGAGGTAATCTATGACACCTTGCATGCAGACTAGCGTTGGAGCTCGCGTGCAAAAAGAGACTTCGGACGCAGTCCGGCATTGAAGCCCGACTGCAAGAGGACACCACCACATGGGAAAAACATCGAACCTGATGTGTAGCCTAAAAATAACAAGGCATTGATAAAGACCGGAAACTTAAAAGGACTCCCCCGATGCCTGACGTGTAAACTCTTTAGATGCCCGACGTGTGAACTCTTCGGATACACCTCGACGATTCTCAAAGATCGAAAATGGGAAATTTTGTTGAACTGTTGAACCAACTTTCAAGACTGACGACCGTTGACACGATCGAGTACGCCCCAATGCTGCAGATTATGAAGTGCATGGGGTTCGACGATCGTTGGCTAGGGTGGATCCACTGCTTATTTTTGACCGCAAAATCTTTGGTTCTCCTAAACGGAACCCCCGGTAGGCAATTCTTCTGTAAGAGAGGGGTGCGCCAAGGCGACCCGCTGTCCCCTCTCATCTTTGTCTTGGCAGCTGACCTTCTTCAAGCAGCCATCAATGACGCATATCAGAGAGGCGAGCTCGAGCTGCCCATGCCTGATGTGGAGAATGACTACCCGGTGATCCAGTACGCGGATGATACGATCCTAGTAATGCCAGCTGATCAAGCACAAGAGGAGACGATTAAGCACATTCTGCAGGACTATGCATCGACCATTGGATTGCATATCAACTTTCATAAATCGACTCTGATGACGGTTAACACGGAGGTGGATGCAACAGAACGACTGGCAGGGATTTTTGGATGCAAGGTTGGCAAGATGCCATTCACGTACCTTGGCATGCCGATGGGCACGGCTAAACCCACCGTGTCTGACCTAATGCCGCTAGTGGCTTCAGTTGAGTGCAGATTGTCCAGCGCGGCCTTGCTCTTGGATCTTGGATCAAAACTCACCTTAGTCAACTCAGTGGTCACGTCCCTAGCGATTTATGCTATGTGCTCCATCAGACTACCTCCGAGGATCCTGGAACACCTTGACAAGCTCAGGCGATACTGTCTTTGGGAGAAGGAAACTGATGATGGCCACAAAGCTGTGTCCTTGGCGGCCTGGAACCTAGTCTGTCGCCCCAAAGAGAAAGGTGGGCTGGGGATAATTGATTTGCAAATTCAAAACCAAGGCCTGCTGCTGAAACAACTGCACAAATTTTACAACCGTTGTGATGTGCCATGGGTTCACCTGATTTGGTCCACGTATTATGAGGGTTTGGTGCCCCATGCAACTGATCACTGCGGGTCATTTTGGTGGCGCAACATCTTGCAACTTACTCCAACATACAGAGGGGTCACATCGGTGGAGGTGCGAGATGGGAGCACAATATTGTTTTGGAAGGACCTGTGGCACAGCCACATCCTTAGTGATAGCCACCCCAGACTGTTCTCCTTCGCTTCAAACGAAGATGTCTTGGTGCAAGCGCTGCTGACGGCACCTACGCTTGGGCACAACTTCCAGGTGCCGATCTCGGCACAGGCCAGGGAAGAGTTGCATGACCTTCAAGGCAGCATGGCCGGAACCGAGCTGACCGAGGCCCCCGACATCTGGAAATGCATCTGGGGGGCCGCGGACTTCGCTCCAAAAAAGTACTACGATTATTGCTTTCGGGGGGTGGTGGCGGACGATGCATTCAAGTGGATCTGGAGATCAAAATGCACTAATAAGTGGAGGGTTTTTGCGTGGCTCCTTCTTGCGGACAGGCTGAATACTAGGAACATGCTGAATAGGAGAGGTATGAAGCTACGAGATGATGTATACACTTGCCTCCTTTGTGATGACCCACCGGAAGAAACTGTGGAGCACCTTTTCTTCGACTGTGCCTTCAGTAGAAGATGTTGGATGAAGCTGGGGATCGACTGGATGCGAGGTGGAAACATGCTTCAACTTGTGCATGTGGCAAAAAACAGGTGGACGAAGCCCATGTTTATGGAGATCTTTATCATTTCGGCCTAGAGCATTTGGAAGGAACGTAACAACAAGCACTTCAGAGGGGTGACACCTACAATGGATGGCTGGCTCCTCAGATTCAAAAATGATTATCATATGAGGTACAGAATCAAGGAGGCTGGGGTGCCCTTTGTGGATAGTTTTGTTACCTCCATCTAGTCTACAAAAACAGTCACACTCCTTTATACTTACACTTTGTACACTCTTATTCCCTCTCTCTCTGGTGGTGAGGGCTTGACATACCCATCCTAATGTAACACCACAGAGTTGTACTTTGTACTTGTTGAGTTAATTTAAAGTCAGTGGGGGGCTGCCCTCACTGTCCTGAGCTTTCAAAAAAAAAGACTGACGACCGAAAATGAAGAATAGTTCAGATGAATCGAGGAGTGTCCCCAACTTGAAGACCAGAAGCTGAAGATGTTCCGAGGATAATCAATGTCCCCGACTTGACGATCGATTCAGGGGCTATTGATGGTGTCTTGAACTAGGAGGTACTCACCACGTCGTCTCCCGACCAGGTGGGTTGGGTCGAGGACCCCCCATGGCTGTTCACTAACGGGCTTCTTCGGGTAGCCAATGACGCATACAAGAAAGATTCCACAAGACTTGACGCACAAGATGAGGACTCCTGTAACCCTAGGCCTTTGGTACATTATAATCTGAGTTTAGGGTAGTCAATATATTATTACATTACAACTTAGATCAATAATCTCGTGGTAGATACATGTACTCTGTATTATACCCCATATCAATAAAATTAGAAGCAGGATGTCGGGTATTATCTCTTCGAGAAAGGCTGAACCTGGTTAAATCCCCATGTCCGTTGTTCATCATGTTACCGTCGTGCCA